AAGCTATACTATATAAAACGCTAATTTGACTATGTTTGAGGGGGGAGAAAGAACTAATAAGACTCGATTGAACCAAGAGAAGAGGATTTCATTCATTTCCGGAGTAAGTAGCTCCACTATAAAGCTACTAATTCATTGATTTTAGAACTGTAGAGGATAATTCTGCTTTCGTATTGACTTACCTTGTTCAAGAAAAGAGACTCATAGAATGAATAAGTTAAAGAAAGAAGGAAAAAGACAAGACGCTTTACCCAACCCTCGTAAAAAGATCACAATCAGCGAGCCGAGGTGAGGGGGAGAGAGAGAAGCCAGAAGGTTAATCAGTAATAGTAGTAGTAGTAGTCCAGGAGTTTACTGTTCCAAAAGGTGTAGGAGCTTGACCTTCTATCCGGACGCTTTACTTTCTTTGTTCAAAAGGAACAAGTGATTGGGTGAACCCGAAATTCATCTTTCTTACAGGCAGCAGAGTAAAAGAAAGGAAAAGATCAAGCAAGAGAAGTTAAAGAATAATATAGGCTCCGGAGCTTGACCTTCTTCTCATTCAGCTTGCCTAGTTCCCTTGTTCAAGAGTGAAAGCAAGTAAAGATTGAATATGCGAGTGAAGGAATCGAAGAATGAAGTCCAATGCAGAGTGACTCTCCCTATAAAGGAGAATGAATTCATCTTTTTCCAGTCTTGACTAAAGGTCAGGTAATACGGTAAGCCAGGGGCAGGTTTGAGGTTCAGTCTTCTTTGTTTACCTCCTACTTCAATAAGAAATCAATAGGATCAGTCTTTGAATAGTTCAATCAGGCCTTTTTATTTACCGGGAAAGTAGACAATTCCTAATCAATGGTCCTTACTTAAAGTCTAATGATTTGTTTCGGGTCAGGTTCAATAGTTAAGTCGAATTCAGTCCAATGCAGGCAGGGTTACTTACTCTCACTCTCTTTTCCTCTTTCACTGAATAGGGTTACTCATGGAGTAAGTTAAGTAGCGAGACGAACGAGACTAGAAAGGACTGGAAGGACAGAAGCAAGTAACCTATTATTCTATTTTGACCCCGGGTAAAGAAGTCATAGCCAGCCAGCACAGGAGTTGACAGTGAAATTAGGTTATGAATCACAACACAAACAATTTCATACCCTTCTTTCCTTCCAATGTAATTACCTCTACTAAAAAATGACTCTAAACGAAGAGGAGTCATTGTTTACAATCGAGTTCCAGAGTGAAAGAGAAGGGACAAGTTTAGTAGCTCACAGGTCATATAGGTTCGGGGGCAAGCTCATGAGCAGTTCAAGAGTGAAATCCAGAAAGAAGGGTTTCATTCAAGAGCTCAAGTAATAAAATAATATAGGGGAAGGAGAAAGAATGAGAACTATTTCACTTAGTTTAATCAGGAATCAAAGAGAAGCCAGCCAGCCTACCTATGTTACAGAGAGAGCGAAAGAAACCCAAGTTCAAGGGATCAAGAACAGTTAAATCTGGTCCCAGTTGGTTAGTAGCGAACAGAAGAAAGAACATAGGAGAAGGAGCTTGACCTAATGATAGTTTAGAGGTAAAGGTGAAGTAGGGAAGGAGAATGCATTCATCCTCAGTATTTACTTACAGTTCCAGAAAAAGAATAAGAATCCATAGAAGAATAGAGAGAGGTTCGTTTAGTATCAGTAGTTCAGGAGCGAAGACGAAGAAGAGAAGAGTTTACTGTTCAATGACGTCAGCAGGATTTTCTTGTCCAAAGGAATCAGTAGGAGAGTCTAATGAATCAGAAGTCTCCGTGATTGTTGGTTGAGTCTTGAAAAACAGCTAAGGAGCGCAGCAACGAGACAGACAGGGGGTGGTTCAGTAGTTTAGTCTAATTCTTCTTGAGTCTGAACTCTGATTGAACTGTAAAGAAAGGTAAAGAAAGTGACGGTTCTGGGGAAGGAGTGAAAGAACTGACTTAAACTTAGTTCTTGCTTTAGTTCAAGAAGGTAGGTAGCTGATCTTGATTGAATTTGTTGTCTTTTCTTTCAGTTTCAGGAGTAAAGAAGAAGAAGAGACCATAAAGGATGCATGGGTGAAGGTTTAGAAACAAACACAGACCTACAGACTGAGACCAATGGAATAGGGTTACGGAGCTTGACCTTGCTTGTTCAATCAGGTGATGGAGCTGATCTTTCTTTCCTTTCTATTTGTCTCTTTTACCTTTACCTTGTTCAATCAAGATAATTAATGTTGAGTCTTGACTTACATAGTTCACACTCTCATTCTTGAATAACTCACAAGAACTGCACACTGTTTGGCGGGAAATTCTTGGTGAGTCTTTCTTCAAGAAGGACAGGGATGAAAACATCTATTCTATTTACCTTGTTTAATCAGTCAAAGGAGAATGAGACCGAATAGAGAGAATCAAGAGAAGAGACCAACAATGAATAGGTTCAGGGTTCACTATTTGATTGAACGAGTAGGTCTTTGGTCAGGTATATAGAGTCAAAGGAAAAGGGGAGGGAGTGAAGTTCGGTCAGTCTAACAAATCTTTCTTACAGGAGAAGAGGAAACTAAAGAATCGGAATTGAGAAGGAATAGAAGAAGAGAACGAAAGGATCAGATCAAGATTTCTCATCTCTATGGTATGGGATTAAATTCAGCATTGACTTTCTTTGTCCTATGGATTGATTGAACTCGATTGGCGGTAAAGCATATTCAGTAGCTCTTTTCTTTCACTTGGTAATTATAGGTGTTTGTTTGGTAATAGGGGTTCCCCAGAGAATGAATCTTGTCTTGTCTTGCTTTCTTTCATCTTTCAAAGCAGCTATATTGATTCTAGAACTGGAAAAAATAGGTTTCAGTGAGGGCAATGGAATAGTGAAACCGAGTTGGAGAGGTTAATGAGCTAATCTTTCTTTCCTTTCTTCTTGACTTAATACAACATTACCTATAGCCCTCAAAATAAGGGAAAGATAGACAAAATTCATTCATGGTCTTTACAGTAAAAAGAGTGAAAGAGAAAGTAGATGAACGATTAAAGAGAGTTTACAGTCTTTGAATCAATGAAGGAGTTAGTAGTTTGACAGTGTTTGAAAGCCGAAAATCTTTATGTTATGAATGAGAGATTAATGAGACAGAACTACTGCTCATTCACCTCTATTCCTATTCCCTTCCTAGATTGAAGGGGGTAAACTCCTGTCTTACCCCGTCCCTTCTCTTCTGGAACTGTAAGAAAAGAAGAAGAAACCTGACCCTCTACTATTCCCTTGCCTTCTTGAATGAGGTAAATAGATAGTAGTAGTCTTTCTCCTGCCTGAACTGAATCACCTCGTCTTGGCTTCTCTCAAAAGGCATTACATTACTGGCGAGTCAATTCTCTCTCTCTCCTTACTCTTCGTCTTCGCTTCTTCCCTTCTAACTTCCGACCTTATCTCTTTTGGCATCTTCCTCTTGGTAAACTACTTAACCTCTAACTGAAGAAGACCTTCTGCATATCTATTCGCATCTTAGTATATGTAGTAGTCTCTCTGCTGTAAAAGGAAGGCTTTTTAATCACATCTGAAACGACTCCAAGTGCGTGCACATACATTTCCCTATCAATGCCCTTGACCTCACCTCAAGGGTTAGGCACTCTAGTCATTCTGAGTATTTCATCAGCCAGGCACCCAACTATTTTGATTCTTGAACTGCTCTTTCCCCTGTAAAGCTGCTTATTTTCCTTTCCTATTGAACAGTAGTAAACTCATTCTTACTGATTCCTCTCCCCCTTTCTCTTTTTCTTCCTTAAATCAGATGAGAGTAAGGACAACTAAGAGATAATAACAAGGAAATAATCATTAAAGAAGAGAGAGATCTTTTATCATCCATTTATTGAGTTGTAAACAAAGACTCCTTATGTATGAATGAGAGTTTACAGTGAGGTGAGACTCATCAAGCAAGACAAGAGCTATGTGACAGTCGAGTCAAGACTAAAGAAAGATTCGTCGGCCAGAATAGGACTATTACTGATTTACCTGCCTGACCCTTTTATTCTATTCCTTCCCTATTTTTTCTGTCATTGAACTATCGGGGTAAAGCTTATTCTTTCACTTATTCATTGTCGGAAGGAAAGAGACTTCACTCAAGCCGCATGATCCTTAACTCCTTGTGCAGTCATGGTTAGTTATTCAAACACTATTCTTTCATTCGGTAAAGCAACAGGATGATCAGCTTAATCACCTCTCCCTATCTTTAGGGCCATGTATGAGGTAATTACATTGGAAGTCCAGAGAGAGACCGAACAACTCTTTCTTTCTTGCTTGCTTTCACTCCTGCCCCTAACTGAACCTATATCACCTTCGCTACTTCACCTCTCCCTATGTTTAGGGCCATGTATGAGGTAATTACATTGGAAGTCCAGAGAGAGACTGAACAGCTCTTTCTTTCTTGCTTGCTTTCACTCCTGCCCCTAACTGAACCTATATGACATTCGCTACTTCACCTCGACTTCTCTCTAAACTAAGACTCAACTCACTATTCGTGAGAGTTCACTCCTGTCTGTTCCTATTCTCTCGTTCACCTCTATCTATTCTCTGACCTGAACCTGACCAGAATGAAAGAAGAAGATATTCCTTTCTTTACTGTTGAGCCAATGAATTAGTTGCTTTACAAGAGAATTGATTGAAGGGAGGGGAGAAATGAAAGATTAATTTGACTTGCCAAGAGGGAGAGTATGGGAACCTTAACATTATAATGAATTAGCTACTGAAAGAGAATGAACAGGGTAAACTGGACGAACTATTCTTCTTCACCTCTATTCCTTCCCTTAGAGAAGGAATTGATTCAAGATTACAGGAGTGTTAATTCATGACGAACTATTCTTCTTCACCTCTATTCCTTCCCTTAGAGAAGAAATTGATTGAAGATTACAGGAGAGTCACTTCATGAAATCCAGTACCAGATTGAACTGAAAAGGAAAGAGAAGATGCTGAGCCAGCCCCTTCTATATTAGATTATTACTACCTTCGCTTCTGGAACAGTAAACTCATTAACCTCTATTTCTTTCTGTGTTCGTTATTCGACTAAACTACCTAACCTCTCCCTATTTTTTAGATGATGTAACTCGTTCTCGTGGCTTCTTCCTTCCCTGATATTACCTGAACCTTTAATTCGATTGAACTTCTCTGCCTACTTACTTTACTACTCTCGTCTTCTTCTGAAGCTGCTTCGCACCTTTCCTATTCATTCTGCTGAACCTCTACTCTTTCGGCTCCCCCTTCTTGAACTGTCTGTTTCATGTCTTCGCTCCTCTATTTATTTATTGGTTGAGCTGCTTCGCTCATTCGCCTAACTATTCGTGTCTCATCGCTCCTCTCCTCTCCTCTCTGAGTTGAGTTGCTTCGCTCCTCTCCTTTTCTCGTGTCTTCGACCCTTGTAAACTATCTGCTTCTCTACTTACTCTTGAACCCCTATTCCCCTCACTTGAGAGTCGAGTAAATTCATGCAAGAATCAGAAGAAAATGAAAGAGAAGTATTTTAACCAACCCTTGTTTACCAGAGAAGAAAAGATAAGAGAAGGAAATTAGGGAGATTGCTGTGAAGCCCGACAAGGTTAATGATCAGCTCCTGAACCAGAAGCTCTATTCCCGTCCTGGGTGGGGAACCTAATTAATAAATGAACTCCTGCTCCTGAACCATATTGAACTTAAAAAGAAGGATTAGCTCATGAACCAGAACCTATTCATTGTCAGTCTCATTACTTCGATACTTCACCTTTAGTCGGAGAATGCCAGAAGGGAAAGAGGAAGAAAGAAATATTTATGATCCTGAACCGTAACCGATAGAGAAAGAAGGTAGATGAAAGATTAAAGAGAGTTTATCGTCTTTGTTTGAATAAATAAATGAGTTAGCAACTTGACCTTACCTTGCCTTTGGAAGGAATAAATAGGGAAGGGACATCAGGCAGGTTCAGAATGTTGGTTTCTTCTTCTTCTTTTCCTCCAGTTGTTTACCTCGTTCAATCAAAAGGGTTAAGCTTGAGTCGAATTCATCCTTTTTACAGGAGAGGAAAAGAGTTCGTTCAATCAGCCTACTCTTTACCCCGAGTTTATTGTTCAAGAATCCATAGGAGAAAGAAGAAATAGCAATAGGTTCAGTAGTTTAAATGAATAAGGTAATAAATAGGTTAAGGGAAGAGAATACAGGGGAAGTCGCTCACTTCACGCCAACCCAATCTCTACAGGTGAAAAAAAGGTATTTCAGATAGAAGTTTAATCTGTCAGAGAAGAAAATGAAAGCAAAAGAGGAAGGTAATACAGTCAAATGTAAAGGAAAGAAAAACTCACTCTAGAATAAAGAGACAGAAAAGAGATTCGAGATGACCAACCTATAGCGAGAGGAAAGAAAAGAGACCGTGTAAAGGTTGTTCAGGTTCCGGCATATAGTAGAATTGCTTTACCGACAAGTCAAGGAGAAGGTAAGTTGGATGAATCCCCCGCTCGACCCAAAATTTTTCTTTGTCTGATGGACTCTCATCTGTTTTTTTAGTTCAATCTGGTAATACAGTATAAGGGGAGGGAAGAATTAATTCTTAGGAATTGAGCCGAGCTCAAGCTATCTATTTTACTCTCCTGCCTGTAAATTCTATTTGTTTAAAAAGCCTAGTTAAAAAGCAAAGAGAGGTGAACGAGTAAAGTCAAATTAATCTTTCCTTAAACCATCCGAAACAGAATAAGGTAATGGAATTGGAAAACCAACAGGTGAATGAGAAGGAGAAGAAAAAGAGAAGTAGTGGAGCCTATGTTACCTTGTCTTTGAATAAAGTGGGAATTAAAGTATAAGGTTCCGGTCAGGTTAAATAAAGGGTTCCGGAGTGAAGCTAATCGACCAATAGATATAGACAGAGGATTTAATTGACTCAACTGTATTTGTTTGTTCGTTTTGATTTCATATTATCTTCTTCTTATTCTGTAAAGGTAAATGAGTTTACCGAGTTTACAGTCTTTGAAGAGAAATCCTCTAGCGAGAGGAAAGAATTGTGAAACCCTACTAGTGAAAGAAGAATCGTTTGTAAAGATAGAAAGAAGAAAGCAAACAAAAAAACAGCTACTGATGAGAACTACCTTATTAGTTATTAACCTGGCCTTATTACTTCTTACTTTCATTCATGATGATTTGATTACGAGACTGATTCTTCCTTTATGCCGAGAATCCGAAAGGAATAAAAAGAGAAAGACGAAACAAATGAAAGAGAAAAACCAACCGTTTCAAGCGTGATCAATAGAATAGGAAAGAAAAGAGACCGAGGTGAAGTAGGTAATCAATCAATCAATCCCCGCAGCTTTCCCTATTGATTCAAAATTCCAATAAAGAATACCCAAAACAGCTAACATCTTGAGACATTGTAGAATATGCTGGCTAAACTTCTATAGTGAAGGAGAAAGAACCAAACCCCTCTTCTCTTCTCTTTCCTTCCTTAAATCCTACTATACTCTTTCATTCAATCTTTCCTTCTTTAAAGAAACCTGACGAAAAAGAATAAGAAGAAATGGACTAAAGTGAGGAGCGAAGCCACCTTGTTTGTTTACAGTGAGTGAAAGAAAAACGAAGTCTCATCCCTAACAACTAAACTCAATGATAATAATTCTTCTCTTTTACTTCCAGCTGTTTCTCTCCTAATTTATTCTTCTCGTAACCCAAAGGCATAAATGGATAGCTTCCTTCTCGAATCACCCTTAGATTCTCACTAAGCAAAAGAGGAAGTAGAGTCAAAGGTGTAGACATTGAATGAATAGAAAGCTCTCATGTTCTGGATTGTTAATGAATTTACTCTCTCCTCTCCCGAAAAGAAAGGTTCTTCAAATAGCTTGACCGAGGGAAATCTGTCTCATGAGTTCAATCAGGTGAAGGGGAAGTAGTTAAGTGGAATGAATCTCTTTTCTTTTAACGACTCTGACTCTAAAGGATAGATAGTAAAAGGAGTTAACAAGAATGAATAAAGAGGAAAAGCAAAGGAAGAAGACGCAGACAGAGTAAAAGAAAGCTCCGGATCATTCTTGCTTGTTTCTTACATTAAAGTCGAGTGAGTGAAAGAAAAGGGTGTCGGTTCAGTCTAATGATTAAGAAAAGTAGGATTAACTTATGAATTACCTTGCTTGTGATGAAAGAGTGAAATCTGGTTCCGGTTTCTTTATAGAATAGAAGCTGATAGTTTAGAAGGGTCAGCCTCATTAATGATTCTTCTTTCTGTTCAGTAGCGCAGCGAACATCCTTTCATTTGTTGGAGAGGTTCCGGAGTAATCTCTAATTCATCTTGAGTTGCGGAGTTCAGTCTCTTTAGCAAGTAGTGGTTGGATTCAAAGTAGGTGTTAAAGATTCTAACTAAATTGACTTATTAGACTCTTCCTTCATATGAAACCAAAGATATTGGGATGTTGGCAGCATTACGAGTAACTCCTCAACCGGGAGTAGTTAGTTCCACCCGAGGAAGTAGGGACACTGGAGCTGCTGATGCTGAATCTTATACTGGTACATGGACAACTAACTGTGTGGACCGATGGGCTTACCAGTCTTGATCCTTACGTTACAAAGGACGATGCTATGGATGTTCCCGCTGAAAATCAATATATTGCTTACTTATCTAGCTGCTTATCTCCTACTAGACCCTTTTGCAGAAGGTTCTGTTATTGACTGACTTCCATTGTGGTTAATTAGATTCCAAGGCTTCGCATGCTCTACGACTTGAGTATTTGTTGAATCCCTACCCCTACTGCTTATATACACTTTCCAAGGCCCCACGCCTCCCTCATGGTATCCACGGGTTGAAAGAGATAAGTTGAACAAGTATGTATGGTCGCCCTCTCTCTATTGGGATGTACTATATAAACCTAAATTGGGATTTTATCCGCTAAGAATGAATTATGATAGTAAGAGCTACAGTTTATGAATGTCTACAATGCTACTATAGATGCGAAGACATGATGAAAAGGGCTATACTTGCTCGAGACGAGAATTGGGAGTTCCTATCGTAATGCATGAATACTTAACTGAGGGATTCACTGCAAATCCTAGAAAGAAAAGAGCTACTCAAACAAAATATGTATGCTTTACAGAATGAAAGAAGGTAAAAGAAAGACAAAGAGAATGAATCTTGAGTTTCGCCTTTCCCGAGTTCAAGAGCTACCGAATCTATTTACCTGATGTTTGAGCGAAGCGAATTTATTTACTGTGTTTCAAGGTGAAGGATAACGAATAAGGAGTCTTTCTTCTCTTTTCTTTCATTAAGAAAGTCAAGACTCAACTCAAGATGAATGAGAGAGAACTGGCAGGCAGGAAGGAACTGGCTTTCTTGCGGCTGGGTTGGAAGGAACTTGCTTGAACTCCTCTTCTTGTCTTGACTCTATTCCCTTGCCTTCTTTAACTCGGTAAAGCATATATATATATTCTTTCTCCTTCACCTATTTATGAATGAACTGATCTTTCTTCTTATTCTTTAACTGATCTTTCTCCTCTGCCTAATTACTCATTCCCCTTTGACTTATTTCACTCCTTATACAATATTTCCTTCGCTACTGAACTTGACGAGTGGGTAAAAGAGATGAATGAGACTTTACAGTGAAAGCAAGCAAGTCAAGACTGAACACCGACCGATCTTTGATCTTCTCCTTCTGATCCTATTTCTTTCATTGAACTTCGCCTCTCCCGATTTTACTGTCGAGAATCTATTCTTTCCTTTTCCCTTTTAAACTCGGTAAAGCATATTCAATTAATCAGAGTTCATGCCTCTGTCTATTTTTTGGGCTATTTTGACCTAGAGGTAATTCAGTCAGTATTAAGGATGAGAAGAAGAAAAAAGATTTCCTGAACCTGATTTCACTCTGTAAACTCCTGAACCGATATTACCTGACTGACCGGATTGGATTGAACTTCTCTTTCTTTATTCAAACACAGTAAACGAAGAAAGACTTAACTCATTATTCATGAGACAAATTGCACTCGGGTTGAACTATTCTTTCACTCTTTTACTCGACTCTAAACATGAAAGATGAATGAGACGGAACTAAAATGCAAGACTCAAGATTCATGATTGTTCACTCCTCTATTCTATGTCTCATAATTCCCATTGCCTTAACTACTCTATTTCTTCATTCGCCTGTAAGTAAAGACTATTTATATTCGACTTAACTACTGAACCTTCACCCTCTTTCACTCTTGAACTATTCCTACACTCGGTAAACTTCCATTTCATTGCTGGAACCTTCTTTCACTCCTGAACCTTTGACGATATTCCCTATTTATTCACTGTAAACTCATTCACCTCTCCCTACTGACTCCTGAACCGGAACCTGATGTTCTTTCTTTCACCTATTTATTCTTGAACTTCTCTTTCTCTTTCCACTCTTTGACTCTCCTCTCCTGTAAGAAACTAGACTAGAATGATCGTTCACCTTCTTTCGTTCTTTCATTAAGGAAGTCAAGACGAAACCTCAAACCTAAACCTGATTGAACCGTAAAGCGCTATTTGAAGAACCTGAACCGGCAGAACCTTCTTTCACTCCTCTCCATACTGACTCCTATTAATGATTCTAAACTCCTGAACCAGATTGAACTTCAAAAGAAAAAGAAGCTCATGAACTTGAACCTATTCATTATCAGTCTCATTGCTGAGCTACTGAACCTGACGAGAATGTCAGAAGGGAAAGAGGAAGAAACAAACATGAATTATCCTGAACCGTAACCGATAGAGAAAGAAGGTAGAGTCTCTACGAAAGATTCCTTCTCCTGAACCTCGTAAACAAGGGTTGGTTGAACTATCTCTTTTCTTTCCGAATCCAATTCAAGATTCATTCTCCGGTCCAGGAAGGCAAGACTCCTTATTCATTCATTTGACTTTACTGTGAAAGAAGAAATTCAGGGAGAGTGAAGACGAAACGAATCATGATCCTTTAAAGGAGAGTTAAATGAATTAATTAGCTATTGAACCCTGCCCCTTCCCTTCGCTACTTCCGGCCCCGATATGACCTTATTCTGATTCAAGAGCTACTGAACGAATAGTGAACAAGGCCAAGCTCCTTCCCCTATTTCTTTCAGAATGAGACTGTAAAGACCATGAATTAGAAAATTCTATCTTCTGTCTATTTTAAGGGATATTTTTGGCTAGAGGTAATTAATTATTAAGGATGAGAATCAGGCAAGACAAGAATCAATGAATTAGCAGCAAAAACTCAACCTCAAACCTGGACTATTCTTCTTTCACTCTTTCTCGGGTAAAGCAACTAGATGATAAATAAGAACCTTCCATTGTCTTTTCCTATATATTATGGATCTAATCCTTTCTTTCACTGTAAACACTCTACTGAAGATGAATTAGCTGACAGGAGAGTCCATTAATTCAATCCGGAACCAGTACCTCTACGATATTACCTGACCTTCCCCTATTTCCCTTATTCATTCAATCTGGGAGAGTAAACAAAGAGCTACTTCACTTTAAAGGAGAGTAAAGAGGAATTCGACAGAATAGGACAGAAGGAAGAAATTCAAGGGTTAGCAACAAAATAGCTTTACAGTCGAGTAAAGAAAAGAAGAAGAAAGACTCATGAGACTTAACTACTGAACTTGTCCCTTCTTGAGCTCCGACTGGAATCTATTCTTTCAATGACTGAGACGGAACCCCAGGAAGGAAAGATTAATGAGACTGAACCGGAGCCTCTCTCTATTCCCCTCAGTTATGGTTCGTTATTCTTGAAAAAGGTCAGTGGTTGACACGAGAGCTCATTCACCTCTATTCCCTTATTCATTCAATCCTTCAAACACAGTAAACAAGGTCGCTTTGATCCTTTCCTTTACATGAGAGGAAATTCAGTCAATCCGAAACAAGACAGGAGAGCTCCGGAACCTATTCAAACAATGAATTCAATCTGGGAACTCCTTATGAATTAATTATCCTTTATAGTGAAAGAAGGTGGAAGGACAAAAGATGCAAACACCTATTTACCTGATAAATGAAGGAACCTATTTATGAAGGAATTGTAAACCCCTGACTCGGAACCAGTATGCCCTGAGCTACTTAACGAACTTCACTCCCGAACAAAGAAAGGAGGGAGACTAAAGATCAAGCTCCTACTTCTTGAACGAGGTAAAGCATATTCTTTCTGATTCCTTCTTAACAGCTCCGGAACCAAAGACTCTATTCCCTTCCCGGATTGAACAGCTTGAACAGTAAACTTCGATCCTCGAAGAGCAGCTTCACACCTTTCCGATTCATGATCCGATTCCTTAAATCTTTTCCTCGGTCGGCTTCTTGATCTGATCCTTGATTTCACTCTTGAACCTTTACAGTAGGTAAAGCATATTCAAGGAGGATGATTCTTGAACGAATCATAAACACTCCACTCCTTATGAATGAGAGTGAACTACTAAACCATTACAGGAGAGGAAAGAGGAAAGAAAGCTTAATGAGAGAGTTAGAGTTCACCTTTCTCAAAGAAAAGAATAATCAGGCAGGAAAGAAGAAAGTGAAAACGACTATCCGAATTTACAGAAAAAGAAGAAATTCAGGAGTTAGCTGCTTTGAAAGCCGAAACCGAAACCCTGAGCTACTTCACCTTCACCTATCGGTCTCACTGCTTGCTTCTTTCTCCTGCTCTTGAACCTTCCCCTCGGCCAGCTTCTTGATCTGATCCTTGATTTCACTCTTGAACCTTTACAATCGGTAAAAGCATATGAAATCCTTCTTGAACAATAAACACAGACTCAACTCAATGAGACTGAACTACTGAACCTGAACCACTAAACTATCAACTTCTCTCCTTAACTACTGAACCAGAACCGAAACAAGAAAGAGTGAATGAATTAGCTTAACTCCTTTACAGTTCTAGAATCAAAGGAAAGAGATTAATTCGAGTGATTGAACTAGGCCAAGCTCATTCGCCTGGTAACCTCGGTCTCACAGCTTCGCTCCTTCCCATGAACCTCTCCAACAAGGGAATGCTATTCTGAACTATTCTTGTCTCCTTGCTGCGCTCAATCACCTATTCTTGACCAGCTCTTTCTCCTCTCCCTTCTTGTCCCTATTGATTCTTTCACTCGGGTTTCACTATCTCTTTGATTGAAAGACTAAATAGGTGTGGGTCTTTCTTTCTTTCTTTAAGTCAGGGTTAAGGAAAGCTTAATGAGACAGAACAGGAAGGGGAAAGACTCAAGCAAGACAAGAGGAATTATTCTTCTTTACAGTTCTAGAAGGAAATGAATTAGTGCTGCTTTGAAAGACTCAACTTCAAGATGAATGAGACTGATTTCACTCTTGAACGAACAAAGATGGCAAAGCTATTTGATTGAACAACCTAAACTTAATTTCACTCTTTCACGAGGTAATGAGTTCGGAAGGCTGGAAGGATGAGAATAAGGAAAAGCTCCTACACCTATTTATTCTTGAACAAGGTCAGTGGTTGATACGCTCATTCACTCGGTAATTGACGATATTCCCGTCAGTGATTGTGAGTTATTCAAACACTCAGGTTAAACTAGGTAAGCTAGATGAGAAGCTCCTTTCTTTCTTTCACTCTTTTACTCGACTGTAAACAAAGAGAAAGATTAGCGACTTCCCCTTTTCTTGACGATAGTCTCTTCATCGGCACCAAGAAAGAAGGGAGAGAGTGAGATAAAGAGAGTGAGAGTAACCCTGCATTGTACTTCTTGAACTGGGACTTCGATCCTCTTCGAGGGCTGCAATTCCATTTCCGGAACAGAGAGCTACTTCACCGTACCCTACTATTCTTTCAATTCATTCAATCCTACACCTATTCTTTCAATTCATTCAATCCTTCACCGGACCTTTACTTTATAGTTTTTGAATAAATTCAGGGACTGGAAAGACTCTACTCCTATTGATTGAACAATAAACTCCTCCCCTCTTCGAGAAGAGCTCCTTCGCTCCTTAGCTAATTTTCAAGACTCAACCAACTATCAAGGAGACAAGAGAAATTATCCTTTTTCAATCCGGAACAGGACAGGAGAGCTACTTATACTTTATTTCTTCTCTGACCTTGCCTTTCTAGCCATAAGAAACTTCTGGCCCCGCCTGATATGACCAGAAGGAGGTAAAGTGGCTTCCATTACCTTATTTCAGGAGTTAGCTGCTTGACAGGAGAGCGATTTACCCTACTTAGAAACAGGCACAAAGAAAGAAGGAAGAAGACTCAGACAAGACTCATTCCCCGGGGAACCGATATTCCCGAATTTTTAGGTCATTTAACTCTTTTACATAGGCTGGATGAGAAGAATCAGGTAAAGCTATTTTACGGTCTCTAATCTTTCCTCTCCCCATGTTATTCACTGTAACCTCGAGAAAGCATATGAAATGAATTGACTCTCTCTCCCTGCTAATTGAATAGTAAGAAAAGAAGCAAGCTCATGAACCTGAACCTGATTTGACTCATGAACGTCTCCAATAAGGGTTTAACTATTCAAGAACTCGGTAAAGCTATTTTACGATCTCTTTCCCCTTATTCTGTTCCTATGAAATTCTGAACCTCGTAAACTCTTCTCGTGTCTTTGCCTCTTCGCCCTACGAGTCTCGGGTCTTCGCCCCTACCCCTCTACAACTCGGTCTCATGGCTTCACCCATTCACCTTCACCTCTACACCCTATGAAGTTAGTCAAAGAGGAAGTGGTTGACACGAGAGCTCATGAACCTTTATTCCTACTCCTTATTTCAGGAGGTAAAGCACTCTATTTTCTTTCACTCTTTCACAAGGTCAAGCTAGTAGAAGAAGAAGAAAGATATTCTTTTACAATTCGAAATCATAAAAGAAAGACTTGGTAAACTAATTCATTAACTTGACTCTCTCTGCATTCTCCTGAACTACTGAAGCTTTTCCTTCAAAGACTCGGTAGGTAAATAGGTGAATCTTCTGTCTTTTACTTTACGGTCTCGCAATTCCATTGCCTCTGCCTTCTTTCACTTTTGAACTCGGTATGTTTGCATCTGCTTCTGTCCTTTACTTTATCCTTATGGTCTTGCATCTTCGCTCTTGAACCTTCTTGCTTTCACTCCGCCTTCAGAACTAAATCACTTGTCCCTAAACTCGGGTGGTTGAACTGTAAAAGAGAAATACTCAAGCTAGATGAATGATTACAGTTTGAGGATCAATGAAAGGATGTTCGCTTCACTCCTTAGCTGCTTTTCAAGACGAGACGAAAGAGTCATTCGAGTTCACTCCTAACCTTTTCCTATCCGTTACGGTCTCTTTTCTTTTCCTTCCCTTATTGAACAAGGTAAATAGAATGAATAGGTGTTTGTTTGCTTCTTGATCCGATTCCTTGGCTTCTCTTCAGAACAAGGCATATCGCCAGTCTCTTTGCTTTTCTTTCCCGAATAATAAACAAGGGTTGAACTACTTCCCCTTCACCTGTCAATTGAACAGCTTCGCTCCTGAACCTTCAAAGACTGTAAACGAATCAAAGCTTCACACAATTCCATTCCCTGAGATCTGGACCGATATGCCCGCCCTAAGCTCAATCAAATCACCTTTACAAAAACAGAATCAATGAATTAGCTGCTGGGGAGTAAATCAAAGATAAGAGATAGAAAGAAGGGAGTCAAGTCAAAGACTCTTTCTTCATTAGACTGATCCCACTCACTGATTGAACTAGGCTGAACTCCGGCCCCTGAACCTCGTAAACTATTGGTCAAGCATCTTTGGTCCTACACCTATTTATTCTGGAACAGTAAACACTCAATCAACTCCTTATTCATTAGTCGCTTTACTGTCGAGCTACTTACTCCTTCCCCTTTGACTCTACTCCTTATCAATGAGAGTAGAGTGAACCCGAAGTCAAGACTCAAGCAAGAGAACCCTTCCCCGATCCTCTCCTTTACAGTCTCGTCGAGCTACTTCCCCAGAACCAGAACCTTATACCTTATACCTTATACTCTACTCTATTACCCATAATTCCATTTCAAATCTTTTACTACAGTCTTCCAATTCAATTTCCTTAACCAAGAGCTACTGAACCTGACCCTATTCTTTGAATTCATTCAATCCGGGGAACCTATTCAAACAATGAATGAAATCCTGAACCGGACCCTTTACTACAGTGTTTGAATCAATTCAGGTACATGAAAGACGAAAGATTAGTTTACAGTCGAGCTCCAGAACAGGAATGAAATCCAAAAGAGAAAACCTTCCCCGGAATGAAAGAAAGAGAAGCGAATGAACTCGAACCACCCTTTATTCTTTATCCTTATCCTACGAATGTCACTCCTTAACAGCTTTTTCAGACTCAACCTCAACCCTTCGCCCTATCCCCTGAACCTAATTGAACTGTAAACAAAGACGAAGACAGAGTTGTAAGTGTTTGAAGGAAATGGAATTGTTCAACCAATATAATGGGTGAATGGAGAGTAAAAGTTAGAAGACGAAGACAGAGTGCAAGAAAAAAATTTGATTAGCTGATGAACTGTAACCTAAAGTCAAGAAAGAGAAGCGAATGAATGAATTTCTCTCCTATTTTTTCTTTCTCCATAACCTACCTATTTATTTCTTTCTCTGGAACCTATCCCTTACAGTTCAATCCAGAACAGGAAGTCAGTCAAGCCGAAAGCAAGAGAAACCCTTCCTCGATCCTCTTCGAGTCTCGTAATTCCATTTCCTTTGCATTCCCTTTCGGAACTGTAAATGAAGAGAAGAAAGAGAAGCGAATGATTCGCTTCCCTCCTTATATGATATATATGCCCTGAGCTACTTCTTTCACTCCATAACCTGTCCCACTCGGTAAACTTCTTTACGCCTGGACCTGAGCTACTGAATGAAAACCTTTCCCTCTGATGGCTTTTTGATCCTGCCCCTGAACGAGAACTCCCAGATGGAACAAGGTAAGTAAAGAGCTCCTTCACCCATTTAGTCAAAAAACACAAGGTAAAGTTGTTTCGCTCAATCACCTCTCGGTCTCACTCGCTTCTTATACTCTATTCCTTTACAGTCGGGAGAGTAAATCAAAGACAAAGACTCCTGATCCTCCTTCTCCTACTGATTGAACTCATTCGACTTCTTTCCCTCGGTTCTAATTGGGTAAGTTGGATGAGAAGCTCTAGACCCTTTATAGGAGAGGAGAGTCAATTTATGAAAAAAGGGAGACGAAAGCAAGATCGACAAGAAAGAAGAATGAAACTTGACAGTTATAGGGAGAATGAAATGAAACATGAATGATCATGTAAAGACCATTTCTTATTTAGTTAATACTAGACAACTAGTTTCATTTTTTAGGTAATATAGAAGGAAAGACGAAACGAAACATTCTAGATCTGGAACAATCAGTCAAGACTCAACAAGAATTCTTCTTGCACTCCGGAACAGGAACAAAGAAAGAAGGGAGGATGTGTTTCAAGTCAAGACTCAACAGGGAGACTAAAGATCAAGCTCCTATTGATTGAACTCTTGTAAAGACCAAGAATAAAGAAATTCTATCCTCTCCCTATTTTTAGGGATGTTTTCCTGATTTCACTCTTTTTTTGACTCTACCGAAACTGTAAAAGAAGAAGAAACCAAAAAAGAGCTACTGAACCTATGGATCTCGTTGCTGCGCTCCTCTTTCTTTATTCAAAGACAAGGTAAACTCATGAACTACTGAACAAACCAAATTGAACTGTAAGAAAAAGGATGAATTCGACTTAACTACTTCCCCTGAACCTCGTAAACAAGGTTGAACAATTGAATTGCCTGCCCCTCTACACCTCGGTTAAACAATTTCATTGCCTGAACCTGAAGGGTAAACTGGTCGATTCTTTCACTCAGTAAAGCAGCAAAGAAGAAGAATAAGATTTTCTTCAAAGACTGTAATCGACGAAGAAAATGAAAGAGAAGCTCAATCACCTTAGCTTCTTTGATATTACTTTCCCTGAGACTATGTTCTCTTCTTTCTGTTTTCTATAGGTCTCTTCTCTTCTTTACTTCCTTCCCCGCGATATGACCTCACTAAGCTACTTCCTGACCTGAACCAATAGATATTGTATTACCTGACCCTGAAGAAGGATTTGTTGCTCTGGTAAACGAAGAGAATGGAAGAAGACATAGAATCAGATATATTCCTATAGAGTCAATTCATTAGCTACTTCCCCTATTTAGCTTATTCATTCAATCCTGTAATAGAAAGCAAGACAAGATTCATTCAGCGGAATAGGACTATTACTTCTGAACTCAATGACTTGTCCCTTTAAACACTCAGTACGTAACCTTTTCTAATATATATGACTGACCTTACCTTGCCTTTCTAGCTTTAGCATTGTTTGTTTTATTCCCTCATTGACCAGTAAACACTCTCAAGATTAATGATCTTGAATACGAAACCTCTACAACTATCTGCTTCTCTCCTGTCCCTATGTCTTTCTATTGGTCGAGCAGCTTGCTTCGTTCCGTAACCTTAGCTTCTATCTATTATTTTACCTGATCTACACCCCGATATGACCCTAACTTTCCAATCGATTAAATGAATGAAGAAGAAATGAATTAGCAGCTTTGAAAGACGAAACTAAAGATGAATTCTCCAGTAGTGTTTGAATAAATTTAGGGAGAAGCAAATTCAGGAATAATTCTCCTGATCCTACTTTACCTTTACAGTTGAGTAAATCAATTAAAGCTCCTTTCTTTACAGTTCAAGAAAGAGTCAATTCATTAGCTACAGATTAGTTCGTTCTATCAAAGAGTAAAACCTGAACCTGAATTGTGGTGGTGCTCTTCTACAACTTCTTCGACAACAGCTCCTTTTTTCCCTTCGGTCTCTTATCTTTGTCCTCTCCCTCTTTACTGACTCATTCACCTTTCTTTGACGGATTTCCCTCGGTAATATGGAATAGATGTTTTCATCCCTGGACTGATTGAAGAAAGATTCATTCTACTCAATAACTTTAAATTCTTTAACTGTAAAGAAAGACTCAAGAACCTGCGGGGAACCTACCTATTGATTCTTTGACTGATTTCACTCTATCTTGAACAAGGGAAAGCCGCAAAAAGCATATTCTTGATCCTTATGAATTATCCTAAACTACTTTGACTACTTAACTGACTCATTCAGCTTTTCCGATAGTACCTGACTGACCTGATTTCCCTCGGGTTTCACTATGCTTTCAGGAGGAAAGGTAAGTAAAGCATATGTAGTTGAAGTAACTCTTTGATTGAAGGAAGAAGGTAATGCAGCAGAAGTCAAGCCGAAAGAGAGTGAATCGATCCTACTAATAGCCTTTACAGTGGAAAGAAAGAAGAAGAAAGCGAAAGAGTGAACTGACCCTACTAATAGCCTTTGACAATGAAATAATAAATTCATTCAACCCTGAACTGGAAGGAAAGACTGAGGATTCTCTTCCCTTTTAATTCGACTGAGCCTTTGACGATATTCCCTATTTATTCTTTCCATTGAACTCAAACACAAGGGAAAGCATACGAAATTCATTGCCTGAACTAAACTAATTCCTTTACTCATTCTCCATGAACTGTAAAAGATCCATACTCTAGATTGATTAATAAGACAGAACTACTCTGAACGAACCTTCTTTCTCTCTAAAGCAACTGAGCTCTATAATCGGGTTGTATTCCCTTCCCTTCACTAGGTGGAGTAGTAAGTAAAGGAATGAAATGAAAGAGAAATCACCTTATTTGTTCTCCTTCCCCTTCTCCTATTTAGCTGGTTAGTGATTCAATCCGTAACCTCTACCTATTTATTCTGATTCTTTATGAGTCAAGTTTAATTAAGTCAAGACGAAAGGGAATCCCTAGCCTATTCTTGTTTCAGAGGGTAAAGCTATTTGTTTGAAGAACCTGAATCGTAACCTGATTGAACTCGGTCTGTTGTTCTCTTTACTCCCCCCGCATTGGCCTTCAAAGACTCTAAACCTCTCCCTGAACTATAAAGCTAAAATATTAATGAGACTAATTTCACTCTTGACCAAGGTAATTAGTACGTCAAGACTCAACTCCTTATTCCGGAACCTATTTCTTTTCGTTTATTGGGTAAAGCAGCTTCGCTCAATCACCTGTCGGTTTCACAGCTTCGCTCCTGCCCCTGTCGGTAAAGCAGCTTCACTCCTCTCTCTCTCTGTCTTAGTCTTTAATAACTTTCTTTGTTTTATTCCTAGATGAAACTCATTCATTCCCCTGAAACTAAAAGTCAAACCGTAACCACTAGAAGTGAGTGTGCCCATTCACCTATCTATCTATCTATCTCATAATGGAATTGCCAGCCCCGGACCTCTAATCTTCTCATCTTTTCGTCTGCTCCACCATGCCTCGTAACAATTACTTTCTCTCTCCTTTAACTGTTGGTAAGATATTGATTTATAGATTCTCCTTACCTTATGCTCTTCTTTCTTTCTTTACTTTACCTTACTTTACCTTTTCTAGTGTTTGATTGAAGTGTTGAAAGTCAACCCTAAAGATTCATTCTACTGAACAAAATCACTATACTATACTTCCTTGATTTACCTTAGCAAGTCTTTGATCAAGTCAAGACACAGCAGCAACTGAAAGAGAAAGAGAAATTCAAGACTGAATAGAACAAGACTATTACACCAGAACCTGAAACCATTCCCTATTCTATACTGACACTTAAGACTTACTCTCTACTTCTTTCACTTAGAACTCTATACTTATTATCCTACTCCCTACTACTTACATTACACTTAGAACTCGATACTCCCTATCTACTTTTGATTAGACCTACTCTCTACTTGAACTTAGAACTACTTACTCATTAAGGAGCTAGCTCTCCTACTCATTAATTAAGCTCTACTGCCTATAAGTTGCTCTACTCTATTCCTTGATGAGGATAACCTATTATGTTAAACCTTTTCAATCCTCTAACTGAGGAGAAAGCAAGAGAAGAAGATTTATTACAAGTGGGTAATGCTAACTAACCTAACGTGATGAGTAAAGAAAGACTAAACCAACAACACAACTTATTCATTCTGTAAAGCAAGAGAAGCAGATAGGAATTACTACATACAAGAAGGTCAGTCAAGCTCTCTCATTAACTTGTCGAGAAAGCAAGACAAGAAGATTTATTACATCCGAGAAGGTAATGATGCTATTATAACACTCTTACTAAATAACCTAACCTATAACCCTTACAACGTAACCTCTATAGAAAGCAAGAGAAGTAGATATTGCAAGAGAAGTAGGTATTGCAAGAGAGGTAGATATGAGTTACTACAAGAAGGTCACAGTCAAGCTCACTCATTAACTTGCCGAGAAAGCTGCAAGAGAAGAAGAAAGAGATTTATTACATCTCGGCGGAAGGTCATGCTACTAACTTGACGAGACAACAGAAACGACAAGATTTATTACCGGAAGGAAGTTCAAGCTAACCTCTCTCTGGTCTAGAACAAGAAGCAAGAGTATGAGAAGGAAGCTCAAGTAAGACCTGATGAAGGAAGAACAACTGAATTACATGCAAGAAGAGGTAATTCACCTGACGAAGAGAAGAACTTAATTGACATTCATACAGGAAGCTCAAATACTCTCTTAGAAGTTACCTCGAGAGCAAGCAAGAAGCAAGCCAGCCAACAACATTCATTAAATACTAAAGATGTTAAGCTAACCCAACCTGACGAGAAAGAAAGCAAGCAACAGGCAAGCAAGCAAGCAACCAAGTAAGCAACAACAACATATTCAATTCATTACACGAGAAGGAGTCAAGTTAACCTAACCTGACGAGAAGACAACTACTACATTAAAAAGGTAGGCAAGCTCTAGCTAGTCTCAAACAAGAACTAACTACAAGAAATATGATTACTACATACGAAAAGCTCAATCTGACGTGACGAACACAACAAGATTACGGAAGGGTAAAGCTGACCTGACTTGACGACAAAGAACAAGAGAAGATATTCATTACATACAGAACAGAAAGAGTAGCTGCTCACTCACTCACCTATAGCTGCTATAGAGCAAGCAAGCAACCAAGCAAGACAGACAAGAAGATGAATTACATACGGAAAGGTAGTAAAGCTAATCTAACGTCAAGAAGAACTGCGGATACATTACTTCGGAAG